CCATATGGGAATATATGACCAAGCCCTCCCAATGTATAGCCACCAGACTCTGTTTAAAAAATTCTAATGAAAGAAAACTCACCACACTTATGATTAGAGAAGGCACCCAAGCAACAGAGAGTAAAAACTGCAAATGTAAGTCAAACATTCTAACAAGAAGTCATGGGCAATGGAGATCTCATTCCCTCTGTGGAAAAATGTAGTTCAGGGATGGATGACATTATTTCAATGAAAAAGTCCCCAAACAACAAGAATCTGCAAAATAGGAATGGAAAAGATGTGTGTGATCCTGAAATACTGCTGTTGTGTGACATAGATAGCACTAAACTAAATGAAAGATGGGCTAGCTCCAGCAGTATGCATCGGTTTAGCCTGGGTCATCCATGGAGCCCACTGGCTTCCGTCAAAGGTTCCCATCAAACAATGCTGGTGGAACTCTGTGGGTGAAATGGGGTGGAGCCCACCCATGCTGTCACTACAGCAACAAGGGAAGCTTCCTGTGTTGCCATATGAAGTCATGGGGGAAGCCATGCAATCAACACTTACCCCCCATGGAATCACCCTTAACTGGAGCCAGACAATGTGGTGTATGAGGCATTGGCTTCTTTACACCCCCCAATGATGCAGATCAATTTTAGTGGCCATGTGAGAAGTGGCATGTGATTTGTGCAGAACTGAAGAAGTTACCAAGTGACTTTGCCACTCTTCATAAAACTTCATAAGAAAAATATCATCCTTGTGTGTTGAACTGGTTTCCAACCACTTCCCCCATCCTGGTGTCCAGATATAATAAAATGGTTTAATTTGCAAATAACTGAATTATTGCTGTGCTGGAAGAAATCACTGTGACTTTATCACTACATTTGTTAATGGTGTTGAAGAATGCTAGATATTTTATGATTAAGAATGGTCTATTGGCTTGTACTGTGCCATACTGACATTTGGAATTTTTTCTCTCAGCAGGAGATTCAAAGTTTTACACTTCCTAATCCCCAAACAGCAATGTTGGAGCAAAAATGAACATGTGTATTTTTTATGAAGTAAAAGAAGATTGTAGGGTTTAGGCTTGATTAAATAAAACCTCAGTAATAGGATGTTCCCTACAGCAGAATGATAGTGGTTGTTGAAGAGTGCATTTACTGCAGTCTGACAAGGTAAATACAACACTTTTCCTCCTTCTTGAAAGACTCTAAGCTATTTACTTCCTGATGCTAGTTACAAAGTGACAGAAATTATCAGAGTTCTGCAAGGTAACAGTTTTGAGTTGGCTGCAAGGTTTTTAGAGCTACACTGTTATTAACTTTTTATTTATTGCACTGAGGAGAAAAATAAACTTGAACGTTGTTCACTCTGCGCGGAAAAATACCGCATGCATCTAAAGCTCCCCTTTGGACTGGACACTAAAAGTACACACCAGCACCGATCCAGATTGAGGGTGAAAACAGACACAACACAAAGCATAATTGTTGCTACGGGTGGCAGTTGTAGCTGCAGTAGTGTATTCCAGTTTCAAGAAAAACAAAACTGAATGTGACTCATTCAGAAATAGTTTTACAAACCCTTATGGATTTTATAACTACAGGCTGTGAATATGGCCACTAACTTTAAATAGCTTTTTAAAACGATTAGATAAATGTACCGAGGATAAGCCCGTGAAGAGATATGGTAGCACTAACTAATCATGCTTGGATGCAGTATATTTCTGACTGCCAGATTCTTGGAAGAGGAATAAATGGATCAGACTATTTATGATCCATGCCAGGTCAGAAAGTGTTCATTCATAAGTCAATTTCATTCATTTTTTGCATCAATATATGAATCCAAAACAAAACCATCTGAATTGTCAACATTTTTTTCATGAAATATACATGTTTGTCATCATTAGTGGCACATTTTGGATTAGGACTACTACAATAGTTAGAGAAGTAAAAAACAAACAAACTGATACTGAACCATGTAACATAAAATTCATGACAAAATACAGGATATTTCAAAATGATGGACCCAATTTCAAAGTAGTATATTTCATGATGGCAGCATGCTATAATTACACAAAACGTTACAAATGGTGTAATAAGTTATAAAGTTTTATTAACCAATTTGAGCCAGAAACAAAGCTAAAAACTAACCCTGCAAAAGGAGAACATCTCATTAGATATTATGTTGCAAGTTTCTCATCTTTCAAATGACTTGGGCAAGGAGCTGTTTTGTGCATTGCAAGTGGCATCTAGCAGTAATCTTTTGAAACTATAAGACCAGCCCTTTAAAGTGGTAAGAGTTTAATTTATAGACAGTTTGTGGTTGCTGAGAAATAGTTATTTGAAGTTGGGTCCATCTTTTTGAAGCAAATTATAGATTACAGTCAGTCTTGAGATCTGTGTATTCTTGACATCTCTTGCCAATTCTTGCCTCCAGAATGGTTCCATTCAGTAGATAAAAATGTCGCACTAGAAGCCAAAAGACTGGTTCAAATTCCTATTTTTATATAAAGCTCCTAAAGGACATCATGGACTCGTCAGAAGTAGACCTTCTTAAAAGAGAAATCCAGTTGGAGACAAATAATATTGAGGTTGTTTTTGATGCTTATAACTCTTTAGTTAATGGACTAAAGGGGGTTCTGACAGAGACATCCAATAAAAAACCACTACTGACCTCTTCGAATTCCAACAAGTGGTTTGATTATGAATGCCAACTAAA